TCAGTTATTCTGCTCAGGACATGTTACTTAACCCTTATCCGTCCGACCAGTCAAAAATCTACGACTATCCGTCGATCAGTAAATCCATCATATCTCAGTCATTTCTTGACCAAATTCCATGATCGAAGGGTCTATCGCCATTAGAAAACACCAGGCTATCGTCTCAAACAATCGCCGAAGAGCTACGACACTCCCTTGCAACGATATCGTCCGCCGAAAGTAAAATCACGGCAATTGCGATTTTTATGCGCTCGGGAACATTTCAAAGTCAGTTTTTCTTTTTTGCATGACAGTTACGTCACCAAGCGCATGCTCATGACGTAAAAACCAAATAAATGTTCTGTACACAAAAATTCAAAGTCCAGCGATGGAGGAGAGTGAAATGGCGAGACAATTTGGATTCTGCTCGCAGATCTGGCGCTGGGGCAAGTTTGGCAAGTGGCGGCGCTCGACTTGTGGCTTTATAGATGTCGAATGTGCGCTCTGTGCATTCGTCGCGGACGGACCTTTCCAAGAAGCGCAAGATCATGGAATTCGGCCAATGGAGACTAAAGTTACGATAATTTGAAGGTAAAATATGTCGTGAAATTGCAATTTGGGCCTGCGCAGCGATTTTGTCGGACGGATAAGGGTTAATATTAAATTAATAATGACAGCAAAGTATGCACCGGCTCTATACATAGAGGCAAAGCCACACTGGTCCTGACTGCTTCAGCAATAGTGAAGTCATTACACTACATACACCGGTGCTGCTAAGTCTTCAATGCACATGTACATGTATGAAGTGGGAACAGCTCAGCATACTTGCGCATCTGGTCGAGTCTTGACTGCAGCTTCTTGTGCTGTGGATTGATGCGCATGATGATCTTCAGACTCTCGTCACGCTTGCGTTTGACAATGTCACGAAGCAGTGTCTGCAATTTGTCGTACTCATCATCCCAGTTGTTGAAGACTGCGAAACAAGCCACCATTACCTGGAGAGAGAGAGAGAGAGAGAGAGAGAGAGAGAGAGAGAGAGAGAGAGAGAGAGAGAGAGAGAGAGAGAGAGAGAGAGAGAGAGAGAGAGAGAGAGAGAGAGAGAGAGAGAGAGAGAGAGAGAGAGAGAGAGAGAGAGAGAGAGAGAGAGTCAAGCAAATTAGTGTTGACAGAAGGTGTATAGCGCTCGTACAATCCCAGTCAAGACTGGTCAGCAAAGCATGAAACCACATTGTATAATTATGTCTTGCACTGGTTAGTTTCTTTTCTCCCTGGGTCCACCTGAAAAGAAGGCAAAGAAAATACTAAAAAATTCAAAAAGTTGCTTCCGAGTAGCCGGAAGCTACTTCTCTTCAGTCTGGTATGAGAATCCCAAGGAGTTAGCAGCTTGTGCGTTCCAGCTTACCTTCTCAAACTCATCAAAGCTGATGTGCATCAGGCGACGTGTACTCAGCACCTACAAAAACAAAACGAAAAATATGAAGTAGGACACACACACACACACACACACACACACACACACACACACACACACACAAATTTGCTCAAAACTCCAACACTCACAAATTTAATGGTCTCTTGCTGTGATCAGTTCAATTTTCGCCAGATTGAGAGGCATCGTGCACCAGATACAAAGTCAATGAGCAAGAAAAAAGCAGTACATGTATAGATACTTGTGGAAACCGTGTAATAACAGATCATAAATGCGGTGGTGTCCAATGTGCAATCAGTGCGTACCTGGAGGAGTTGATTGAACAGATCTCGAGAGATGGCCTCCACAAGACGTAGTGTGCGCTGGACTGGATACTTGATGGTCCTGACTTTCCTCAAGTGAGCAAAGATGGCAACCAGGGCGCTGGCAATACTCGGCAGGTCGTTGGCAGCCAGGAGATCCTTGATGGGAAAGTCCTTCATGAGCAGGTTGTACTCATTGACAGTCTGCAAGGCAGCACGGAGACCTGGCCACCACACAAATCAAAACACAGGAGTGTGAAACACAGTGAAAGAAAGAAAGAAAAAATCTCCATACAGTACATACGCTGCCCCTATCATGACATACGGGAAGTACATCTGTACATCAAGATAAGGTGGTTTGAGTGTCAAATAGCAAATGAATGACGAGAAATGATCTGAGCATATGTTACAAACAAAGTGCTTCAAACACTTCGGATCTAACTGAGGCGCATAAACAATGACAGAAAGCTTCATTACCTAGCATACAGCAGGGAATTTAGTGACAAAAAAACAACAAGACAAATCCACTCACCTGTGTCAGCATCAAAACTGACGGTGGCGTGGAAACGCTTGCCGTGCTTCAAGATGTCCAGGGTCAGGGTCACCTCGGGAGAAACACGCTTCTCCTGGATACGCTGCAGCGCTCTCTCTAGGTTGAGCCAGAAAGCCACCTCTTGCAGGGCTGTGCCGGAGGCTGGGTCTCGGTCGAGCTTTGTCACCTAGAAGCAGAAGCATGCACACACGCACACACAGAAAACAGTCATTGATTATGTGCTGAGTAGCACAGGAAAGCAACTAGGAAGGCCTAGCGCAGCACAAAAGTGAATGCAGCTGCCATTCCTGTATGCTTTTTTTTGCTTAAAAGCCACATGGTCAATTCTAGGAATTTCAGCCCTCACCATCGTCTACACGGATTTCAAAAGCGTCGACCTCCATTTTGAAAACATGGTGGCTGGCCGCGCTACCCGTTGGCGCACGTGCCCCCCGCGTGTCTTAGCGCGAGCTTCGAGCTAAAGATAATGTCCCGCACTCATTTTCCTGTGTGTGCCCATTTCTTCGACCTCGCTCAGCTTTTGCTTCGTCTCCACGCAGCACGCTGTTTATAGTCTGAGTTTAGTTCTCTTGTCTTTTTTCAGCAGAATACTGCAAACTCTACAGCGCGTCGAGCTTCTCCTAGAAGAGTTTCTTTTGCGTCGAGACAGACTGTCGATCGTTTCAGTCCTATCTCGCCGTCGTCTCACGAGCGCCGGAATGCAACAGTATCTACTTTCTTGTCGTTCCATTTTCTGGCGAACTCATTCACCTATTACTTCTTCCTTTATGAAAGCTTCAGGTGGCTGAGTTCTCCCATTAGCGACAATCATGCCTTGGGAAAGAACAGGGTTTTTCTAAGGTATGTACAGGCAGTGCAGCGATGACAGTGTACTGCACTGCAAAAAAGCACCAGCACTGCGCGTAGTTGTTGTTTATTTTGTTTTGCCGAGAAAGAATCCCCTTTGATCCCTTTCGCACTCGCGCGGGCCGCAAGGGCGCAGTACGGAAACTGGTCTATTGAATTCATTTCTTGGTCGATTTTGACAACCAATACGTCGTTGTCTTTCTTTTTGCACTGGCTATCCTTTCTCCGCTTCCGAATTTCGATGCCATCCACCTGGAAAGCCTTGAAGTGAAACGAGTGGAGGCCGGTTTCGGACGTAATTTTCGGCCAAACAGCAATCAAATCGAAAAATTCGAAGCGGACGATCTGTTGGTATCTATCGAAAGAAGACGTTGGTCCATGAAAATTCTTTGGAAACTACACCGTATGAACCAAGGAATTACGGTAAGTTTGAGAATTTTGGTACATTAGCTGTACGCTGATTGGTCGATTAGCGCGACCGTTGAGAAATGGGCCAGTGACGTTTTGTACAGCGTTGGTGAGGGCTGAATTTGATCATTTTAGTAGATTCAATGTACAAGACCGAGGTACCCAAGTTGCACAAGTAATCAGTTGACATCATCATCATCCACATCAGAGCAAACTGGTGATACACAACGCATTGCCTGACAAGACAAGCCTAGCATTATCTCACCTTCTGAATTTCCTGGATCCAGCGGTTGACGCCTTTCTGCAGTGCATTGAGGAAAGTGGAGTCCTCGACGAGTCCCTTGAACTCGTCTACGCTGGGTTTTTGGCCAGCATCGTTGGCTTTTTTCACTGCGGCTTGGACGGACGGGTGGATGACAAGTGTGACGTCGGGGATGTCAATGTTCTGTTGCAGATGAAGAAGGCTAACCTCCAGCTCGCTGATCTGCTTGGCAACACTTGGCACCATTTTGTCACCCTCTCTGTAAAGCACACAACACAAAGCATGTGTGTTTCACCAGCAGCTCGAATACTGGTACCTTGACAACATTTGATGTCGATATTCTGCAAAACTAACAGCATCAATAATACATGTTAACAATACACAGAGTTCACATCTTCCTTGAACTTGTTAGACAGGAGCAAGGTTGACGCATCTGTCAACAATGTCAAGCCAACTTAGTATCATGTATGTCTCCCGCAGCTTGGAGAGTGCTCTTGGAGAGCGATCTACACGGAGAGATCTGTTGCCGAATCGTATCTATCTACCATTTTAAATATTGTTTGTGTTGACGGCTAGCTCCAGTGCTTGGTACGAGGCGGATTCTGGACCCTCTCGCACCACATAGCCGAACCACAGTATATGCACTGGTAATACCATGGCTGATTACTAGTACATGTATATGAACACAGTGTGTATTGGAAGGGATCGCACGGCATGCAACACCATGTTGTATTAAGATGGACTTCACTTCGCCAAGTTTCTTCCCAATCGACTGTAATGTTCAGAGCGGGACATGTTCAGCACACCACAAGGTTTCCATCGAATCTACAAAATCAAAATCGAAACTTTCCCTTCTACTGGTGCCCAACAGCAAATAGATAGTCCGATTTTTTCAGGTTTTCTACCGCTCCCGATGTAAGAACTTAGGTACCCCATAACTGTGGACTCCGGGTGCCATTGCGATTTCAAATCACCGAGGCCTCCTTCAAAGAGAATTAATTTTCAGAGTGGTCGTCTTGACAGGTTTTACTGTACTGGCGTCAACGATCTTTGCAATGACACCCGCTTGTGAAAGTCCAACAGGCCAAAAACCTCAAAACAGATCGGAAATGGAAACGATTTTTTATGCACATGCAAACTGAGCTCGAGACCAAAAACAATCATATAAATAATCTAAGAATAAAAGCAAAACTGGACGCATTCTACACATTCAGCACACTTCTCAACCTGAATTTGGGATTCCAAATCACTAAAGTATTTTTTCCCCCTGATACGTGCCTTCACTGCACTGGAACATGTCAGTAGTCATTAACCCTTTACCATCCGACCAAATTTCCCCAGCAGTCCCAAATGCAATAATTCTCACCTTATTCAGAGAATATCTTCGGTTCTAATCAACCAATTTTCACAATCTTGGGCATTCTGGAAAGCTCTCCACGAGCTGCGTACATTGAGCTCAAACAGGACACTACCGAGATCACATATCCAGCGCCAGGGAGCTTCAAATACACCCCATTGCTGGATATACGAGGAAATTCTCTCCTCACCAGCCATTTCTCGCTCCTTCATCGTAAACATTTCAAATTTTTTGCTTGAGTTTCTTTTCATGCTGCCCACGCGCTCAAAGCATGCCAAAGTGACTCAGCATGTCAGGAGAGGGGAAAATCCCCGCTCAAGGTCAGTCACTCGGAAAGAAATTCGACTTTTGCCGTAGCTGAAATGTCGAGCGCAATATCTTTGGAGTGCGACATCGCAGCTCTTTACCGATTGATGCAATGGAAATCTGGGCTCTTCGGCTTCTTCGTAGATACTTAATTCTGTAAATTCCGACAAGAATCGATCGAGTTACGAATTTTTTAGTGTATGCATGTCCATCGATCTCTAGAGATCGATTCAAGTACGCACGGATGGTAAAGGGTTAAGGGGAAGTATACCCTAAAATCAAATTTTCACCAGTTTTAGTCTTCTGGGTGCTGAGTCGAATGGTCTTGGTCCGAGGAAGCTGCGACGCTCCCTTCCTTCTTTTTTCCCAATCGAACCCGCGCACTTCCACCGAAACTGGGTGACTGCGCCCTACTAGATGGGGATTTGTATGCAAAGTCTCACTAAAAGTGCTATGTCGTTCTTATAAAAGCACGGATGACCGCGATTGGCCCATGTGTTGTAGTCTTTTGGACGCTGAGTCGACTGGTTTTGGTCCGAAAAGGCTGCGATGCAGCGTTTCTCCTTTATTCCCAATCGAACATGGTTGAAGAAGCGGTCACGTGCTCCTGGGTGCCCAAATCACCTGGTGACCACGCCAGCAGGCGACAACTTTCACACCAAGGTTCAACTCGAGTGACAGGACTGCACCCAAAAAAGGTCAAACAGGCTAGTAAGTTGTACCCTGCAGGCACGGTGACCAGTAGGGCCCGGTGTAATATGCCCGAAACTTTGCCGAAAATGCTTTTGGGAAATTCTCGTAAACCATACCGAAAATGTTCCCAAACCTTGCCGAAAATGCTCGGAAAATGCTCACTTTTTTTGCAAGAATCGCTCTCAACAGTATCTTCATCTTCATCACTGTCATCCGAAACACACTCAAGAAGAGACTTGCTCGAGGCTGCCATGGTAAACAATTCATAAACTACTCAACAAGAAGCTAACCCACGGAACGCAGTAGTGACGTTCTTCTTTGGGAAGTTTTTCTTCTCTCAATTTTGATACACAACGGCCAAGTGCTCCGTTTCCCCCAAAATGCTGCATCACGAGCCCAATGTGCTGGGTTCGCGGATTGTACCGAAAATGCTCAAAAAAATGCCGGCATATTACACGGGGGCCTAGTGACCAGGTGACTGGTGTACGCAGGAGCACGTGACCGCTTGTTCAACCATGTTCGATTGGGAATAAAGGAGGAACGCTGCATCGCAGCCTTTTCGGACCAAAACCAGTCGACTCAGCGTCCAAAAGACTACAACATATGGGCCAATCGCGGTCATCCGTGCTTTTATAAGAACGAAATGGCGCTTTTAGTGACATTTTGCATACAAATCCCCATCTAGTAGGGCGCAGTCACCCAGTTTCGGTGGAAGTGCGCGAGTTCGATTGGGAATAAAGGAGGAAGGGAGCGTCTCAGCTTCCTCGGACCAAGACCATTCGACTCAGCACCCCGAATACTACAACTGGTGAAAATTTGATTTTAGGGTATACTTCCCCTTTAATGACATTATGCACGACATGCATTGCAGCAAGCGATCAACACGATGGGTCTCAAGCATCGCAGCATAGGATGAAAAATCAACACCACGGTCACGGATCCCATGGAGCATTAGAAATACCACGCAAAGCGTCGGTAATCTAAGGGGAGCTTTTCAAGACGAGGACTCACTGAGCACAGAGAATTCCAATTCAAATATTCAGAAATCAACCCTGGGTACTATAAATTCTTTTCAAAGTGTAACAAAAAATTGAACTTACCTGTCGCTCTTCAGCTTGACAAAGCTGTTGAACAAAGGTGTTACGGCATGTCGAACGTATGAGTGCAGAGTTTCGAAAGGAGAGTCATCGCTCAAGTTCATTACACGCAGTTGATACGCAATTGGCTTTTCAGCCTCAACAACCGCGCCTCTCTTGATGAAAGCAATGCCGGTTTTCTTTGCTGTCGAGTATTCCACACCGACACTGATCGAGTAGGTAGCATTATCGCCATCACCACCAGCCTCGGACACCGAGGGATCGTCGCCTGCTTCATCTTTTGCAATGCTGTGTCTCTCAATCAGCACAGATGAGACTTGAGGATCAGAGAGAAATTTTCGAATTGACTCCAATTGAGACTGTTTCTCCAGAGCTTCCAAAAAAGCAGGAGATGGTCCAGAATTACAATCTGGCTGCAAAACAAATGGCACAATGCCTTTTAGATAATTGCAGAAGGTCGTAACGGCGACCACTGGCTGCGAAAGAGAAGAATCATCTTCTCCGCCTCCACTGGTTGACGCCATCTTCCTCCAAAGTTCAAGATCGCGAACAGTCCCCTGTTCGGCTCTTCTTTGCGAAGTCAGGGCCTAGCCTGCGAGCCTGGTATGCACATTCACGGCATTCTTTTTTTTCCTCCAAACCATGTAGGTCTACCACTAGTACTACGGCACTAGCACTGCATATCGCATCGCATGCACAGTCTGCATCATGTGCATGCCACATGCATGCCGCGCGCATATCACTGCATTATTATCAGGCTCAGTAGAGCGGTTACTGAGAACTGGACTGGCTACAGGTACGTAGACAGGCGCATCATCAGTGATCATGCCACTGCACCGACCGTGCACGAGCGTGGATCTACCAATGACTTCGCATGTCAATGATCATCGACTCACGAGACGTCATCACTCGGACATAACATGACGACGCAATCATTGACATGATTATTTTTTTGTACATTACGATTCTTTCCCGATTTCGAATTACTGCAGACTGCATGCACTGGGCACGGCTGTCCCGTGCATGCGATCAGTGGCCATCCAAAATGGCGTCCAGAAATTTGAATTTTCAAATCTGGTACGTCCGTCGTACCTGAAAAATAGCATCGTTTTAGAGTATTTCGATTGCTTTCAGACCCGTTTTCAGCGTTAATCGTAACTTTCCCGCAGAAAAAATTGGTGTTTGGGCGAGGAGAAAGAACGGCCTTCTTCCTGACATCGCACTCGAGAAAATCCGAAAGTGTTCCGTCTTTCTTGAGGTCGCGCATGGCGGAAATGTAGTTCCACGAAGATGTTGTGATTGTCTACAATACCGACGTCTCTGTAGACCTTCGTGGAGTTTTCTGAGCCTGCTGGGCAGTTTTGTAGGCTGCTCCTGGCCTTTTTTAGCCCCTTTGTTCATGACTTGTTGAGTCCCACGCAGCGGAACTTGGTCCCGTGCGATATCTTTAGTGGGCAGTCATGGACGAACATTTGTCCATTTTGGACTCAGTATGTCGTGTTGGTGGTGCCAAGTTCACTAATCTAGGCCACAGCATGCGCTATAGCACTCAGCAATATAAAGAGCAATTAAAACAAGTTCACCAGATCGACATCACAGAAGACAAACCTGATACACACCCTAAATACATATGTTCGCTATGCCAACGTGCACTGGCAAGGAATGCATCTGGCACACAGCATTGTGGAGGTGGTTGTGGGTCACCAGTCACATGGGAAGGTCACAAACGTGCTGGTTGCACTGTCTGTAAGTTGTATCAACAACGCTCAAAGGGTGGAAGGCCGCCGAAGAAAAAGACCAAATTGCGCGGCGGAGCCTTACCAGACACGGGAACCAGCCAGGCTACGGCAGTACCAACGCAGGTAAGTGTGGTCAAATTTGGATGTGCAAAAAGCAACATGTCAGAGCCTAATCATGGATGTAATGCTTTTTATATTAATTCTCTGTCTTCATAACAGGTCCCAGCCCCAGCCGCGGGGATCGAGACTCGCACCGTCGAACAGCCGGCATCATTAACGCGTGGTGCAGCTACAGCTGAACAGACTACCAGTGCCGAACAGTCTGTATCACAATCACAGAACACAACAGCAGCCACACCAGCTCCCTGTGCGCAGCAGTCCGTATCGGCTACGCCCAGTACAACCGTTGTCGGTGAAACAACAGCAGACACTCAGGTATACAAGCAGAAATTGATGAAACAAAATTGGGAATGAACACACATGCGCGCACACACACACACACACACACACACACACACATGCGTGCACACACACACACGCACACACATGCAAACACGAACACACACAACACAGTGTTCAACGGCAGCAGACATACATCAAAATCAATGCTTGTAGGCACCTATACAAAAGAAGTGAATTCAGTCGAGTCCTACGCATGCAGATAACCATTCTCAGCAGTAGTATGGTACAGCATTCCATGAAACACAACTGTGTATACTACTATTATATCTGTGCAGATCTTTGAAACGGCCACGGCAAGCAGTACCTCACAGCAGCAGCTGCCAGCACCACATGAGCCCGAGATATCTATCGACAAACGCGCATCAGTATCCACACAGGTGCGTATCTCTGTTATAGAGCAGTCTGTGTATCCAATCCAACCAGGTCTTAAAACTAAAACAGCAATTGTCAGATTAGATAGTGGAGATATTACAGAAAAGAAATGAGCTTCGCAATGGACTGAATATAAAGAAAGGGAATGATAGAGCAAAATGGACTGCATGTGGCAAAATTCCTTGCCAACCACAGTAGTCAACAGCGTGGTGGTTCTACTTGTTTATTGGCGTCGTTGCAGGTGTCTACACCACTAACCCAGCAAGGACTGACACGTCCGGTCACCAAATCGGCTACAATCGCTCAAGTCCTGGACGCATCACCATCCAAGCTCCGCGGTGATACTGCTGACAGGCTGCTTGGCCACCTGGTTTCCGCTCGTTCTGACTCAGGGAAGCTGGAGGTGAAGCAAAGTGAGCGTGGCAGACCGCAGGTATATCAAAGGCTTACATTCGCTGACACATCCTCCGAGGCAGCCAGTGAACGTACGAAGAGACGGCGAACAGCAGAACTGAGGTCGCTCACTGAGTCTGTATGTGGTGGAAGTGCCGGCGCCAGTGCCCAGACTGTAGCAATTCTTCGCAGGATGAGCAGCGACGAGCAGATGGATCTCCTCAGAGAGGCTGGGTTGGCACCACATTCGCCCGAGGCTGGAATTGGCTTGGCCATCAAAGCCGACCTCATGCTCCCGTGGAATCAACTCAGGAAGCTGCGGCAATGGCTTAAGCAGTGTGGAGTGAAGTTCGAGTCAGAACGCAAGATGCGAACAACACTAGCAGCAGCCCTTCCACCCTACACGGCCAAGGACGTGCCAATGGTGGTGAAAAAGCAGATCGCGCTGGCACCGGTGGTGTACATGCCCAGCTTGGAGGTAGTCATCAACCACTACCTCCAGCTATACAAGGATCGTGGGCTACTGACATGGCACGATGGTGCAATACCGGAGAGCGAGGTTTGGATAAAGCTGGGCGGGGACCATGGCGGTGACTCGTTCAAGTTCTCCATGCAAGTAGCCAACCTGCAGCACCCCAACTCGCCGGACAACACCGTACCGCTGTGTGTATTCCACGCAAAGGACACGCCAGCGAATCTGGAAACTGCACTTGGTATGTACCGCGATGACGTCTTGCACCTTATCTCACATGGCAAATGGGAGGGGAAGCGGCTCGTCCTCTTCATCTTCGGAGACTACGAGTTTCAGTGTAGTATGTACGGGTTGTCGGGACCAAGTGGCCTACGTCCGTGCTTACATTGCCACTGCAAGAAGAAATCTATGGAGACGCCAGTATTGCAGAGAGAGCCTGAGGACAGTGTACCCCGCTCCCTGGCCACCCTCAGTAGCAACCTGCTGGAATTCATCGCAGACGGGGAGAGATTACCAAACGCCAAGTTACACAACAACGTCATTCGTCCGGCAATCCTTCCTGTGCCACTACCCAACGTCATCGTGCCAGTCCTCCACCTGGACTTGGGCATATTTGCCTGGATGTTCGATGCAATGCTGAAGGATCTGCGTGAGCTGGACAAGCTCTTGGCCAGCAAGGCCCAGTCTGCTGCTGGAGATAGCGACGCTTTCGGACGGCTATCTGGCCTCTATCGCGACCATCACGACGCAGAAGAGCAGATAGCAGCAGCGTCGGAACAGGCCTCTGGTTACCAGCAGCAGCTGAACTACGTAGCACTGCATGCCCACAACCAGGGTGTTACTGGCGGTAACTTAGAGTTCGTGTGTGAGCAGATCAGAGCGGAGTGGCAGAAGGCCAATGACACAGTCGTGGAGATGACAAAGGCAAAGGAGGGCATCTCGCAGCAGATACTTGCCGCAACTGCTGAAAAAGACATATGTGGGCCTTGTGAATCGGCAGTCGAACCTGTGCTGCAATCCCACAACATCAAGCGCCAGGTGTACCACGGAGGTGCATTTATCGGAAACCACGTGCACCGCGCACTTCAGCCCGCTGTCCTGCAGTCGATTGCTGCTGCTCCCATCTCAGTAATTCAGGAACGCTGTCCCGACCTGATGGATGATGCCAGCGTTGTCCAGTTGCGTTACATGAAGCTGCTGGACGAGTACAGGAAGTGTACTTCTGCCTTTGGCCATTGCAGGAAGGTAAACATAACTCAATATAACTATTTATTCCCTGGGAGCTTTTTCGTCTGTTCCAAGCCATCAAATTCCATTATCCACATGATTCCACTTTCGATGCAGGTACTCTGAATTTGATTATGAATATTTGATCCAGAGCTGATATTTAATATGTGCTGTTTATTCCAGGTCACACGAGCAGAGGTTGAAGAGCTGGAATCCAACATCAGGACCTTCCTCAAGTCAGCACGGAAGGAGGTGGTCGATCGAGGGCTTGGCCACATAACGCCGAAGCTTCATCTTCTGGAGAGCCACACCGCTCCGGCAATGGAGAGGCTCGGAGTAGGGCTCGGTTTGCTGGCCGAGCAAGGAGCAGAGAGCATCCATGCAGAGTTTAACACTCTTGAGCGAAGATACCGCCAGATTCCTGCTCTTCTGCAGAGGCTGAAAGCTATGGCTGAGCAGCATCTGTCCCGAACCTTGCCTCAAGCCATTCACCGTCCCACGACAAAACGTCGCCAGTCGACATGATCTCTGGCAAGTATCGTGAGTAACCAACTTTATTTGCTCTCTCTCTCTCTCTCCTGAACTCGAGTGGATTTCTTTTTCTGCGGCGCAACTCTTCATAGGAATGTACTCGGGTGTGCAGTCTCTCTACCTACTGTTTGCTTTCTTCATCTTTCTGCTCTACAGGCACACAGCTACTTGACCACTTGCCTCGTCATCGAGATCGCGATGCACCGTCAATACTCAACAAAGAACTGAACAAGAACTTCTTGAAGAAAGCTTTGTTGTTTGAACGAACAACAACTGACTTGAACTTTTTTTAGTTGAAGTTTCCAGCTCGCGCTGCTTTGATCTATTTGGGTTTTACCTGCTTTGCCGTATGTTTTTATCATTATTCCCTCTGTTTTCTAATAATTCCACTGGTATTGGCAATTTCCTGTGTAAAATCGCATAAACGCGATTTTCGACAAAAATCGCCGCCATATTGTTAGATGGCCGCGTACGAACAGCCGTGTGGGGTCATGGAGAGCTGATCCTTCAGAGAGCAATTTTCTTTCACTTGACACTTTGTTTGCTGTTTGAATATTGCCTTCACTTCCACGATGGCGGCGCTGACGGACACAAGAAAAGGCAAAGTTCTTCTGGGTGATCTACCGGAAGATTTTCTTCGTCTCCCATTGCCTTCCGCCGACAATGCAACTATCTCACCACAGCACTTGCAGAATGCAACTCTGGATAGGTCATTGCTGTCGCGTATTGAAGTGTCTCTAGCTGAAGCAAGGCTTGTAAAAAATTATGGTGTGGGTCGTATGAACCTTTACTGCCGCTTGCGGATAGGAGCACGAGTGGAGCTGACACAAACAGGGAACCATGGAAAGAATCCTCGCTGGAATCATAATGTTCGATGTAGACTACACCCTGGCGTTTCTACTATTCTAATAGAAGTCCTTGACCAGCGGACGTTCTCCGAGGACGAACGTGTGGCATGGACTCACATCGAACTTACTGAACCTGTCCTCGCAGGTGAGTCGGTACTGGACAATTGGTTCGACTTGAACGGCAAACAGGGTACAGGTGCGGAAGGACAAATAAAGCTGGTGGTTTCTGTGACACCACCACCTGCTGCTGCCCCTGCCACGTTTGGTGCACAACAGACGCAGCTATCTAGCCAGCCACAGATGCAAGTGCCACCACAGGTGCATCAGCCGCAGCAGCAGCAGCAGCAACATGATGGCCGGCCAATCGTCCGCATTTCACGCGAGGAACTGCAGTCGGTGCTTGATATGTTCCCAACATTGGAGAAAGAGGTCGTCGTGTCTGTTCTCGAGGCATCCGGAGGAGATATGGATGCGACAATTACCAGCCTCCTGGCCATCAGCAGCACTGACTAGGTTGCGAGTTTTTTTTCCTTAACACTTTACACTTTGCAGCGGCTTGGGCACGTGTCCAGTGTGCCACACTACCAAGTTGACTGCTATTGGTGTGCGGCTCGGCCTTCGGTGCATTTTCCCAGTGATGGATCTGTACCAGCCAAGGGGGACCTAGTATAGTCACTGCATGCTAACACTTGCAAGTCATCACTGAGCTAAGATGCAGCACACACACTATCGATGACTCGGCGCCCGCGTGTGTTCGGTCACAGCGACCCAACTACCATGTAAGTTCTTCTCTGCCGTGACCTTGCCATGCCGTTTCAACTCGATTTCACTCGGTCTCATCTTGGTGTCCAGGGTAGATGGTCGCATCGCTGTGCTTATATTTCTGCTATTCATATCACCATACTTTCAGACGTATACAAACGGTTCAGTTTCTTCCCCGAAATGTATTCAAATCCTCGCATTTCGATTTCAGTCTGATAATGTGCATGCCCACTCACAATATCATGCATTTTGGGGCAGGCGGTAAATTGGATACTGGACTTTTTCCACCCACTACCAGTATTCTGTTTTTCCCGGAAATATTTGAAACTGCTTTTAAAAGTAGAAAATGAACCGCCTCTGTTCTTTATTCGCGTGTCCTGTTAGTTCATGCTCTGTTGCTAAGGAAGCTGTGACTTTCAAGCATGCGTAGTCTAGTCTGCTCCAGTAGCCATTGCTCAGCGTTACAGCCGTGTGCTTGTTTTAACCTGATCTATATCGTAGATATTTTCATACTTTACCTTAGACACATCTGGATTTAGCTCTATTTATGCATACAGTTTTTAGGTGTGTGGAGATGCAAGCTTTTTTTTAAATTGCCAGTAATCTGCTTCGCTGATAGAGGTTCAGTGTGTTAGCTCCGCCAGTGAGATCAAGCATTGGTGTGTACATGTATGTCGCTGTATTGTATGGACAGTGTATTTACGATGCTGTGTAACAATTTTGTTTTTGTTCCGAGGATAACACGTGCTCGGGTGTATTTGAATGAGTGTTATCTGTCATCATTGACTCATTGTATTTCAATTCTACTTGTACTACAGTCATGTGTCTGTTCTTGTGATCATTCCATTACCAGGTAATTCTGTTCTTCATGCACAGGACAACTAACTTACGCTTACAGCTGAATCCCTGCATGAGGGAGAAAGAAAGACTCCTGGTGTTGAGTTGATAATTTTGTAAAGAGTTTGGAGCTAGGGCAAGGTGTCCATACTGAGAGCCACACTTTTCACGCGTACAAGTAATAATGGAGTGCTGCAACTACGTATCGCTCTGTGCATGTTGTATGGGACCTCTTTGCAGGTAAGTGACACTTCCATAAAATTACATGTAGATGTTCCTTTGACTAACCAAGAACTCTTTGTCATATGAAAACTCTAGACTACATGTACAGGTGAAATCCTGATAATTCGAACCTCCAAATGCCAGCAAAAAAACTTCTAGTTATCCGGACATTCTAATTATCCAAACATGAACCCACAACACAATAATGTATGTCAAAATGCTCCCATGGTCACGCAGAGTTGCGCTATGGACCTTAGACACAGATTTCACGGATACTGAACTGACCAGCACAGCCTGCTCATGCAAACTGAACTGACCAGTACAGTGTACAGTGAAGTTCGAATTACACTTTGCTAACTATTACTTCGAATTATCAGCACAAATCCCACACATTTTCTATGTAAGCGGAATCCGTGGAACTAAGTTCGAATTACTCGGACATGTCCGGTTCGAGGTTCGAATTTATAATATCAGAAAAATTTATGTGGGAATCGTATTGACAGAAATCGGTCCTGGAAAAACTTCTAATTGAGCGGTATGTTCGAATTAAGCCATATTCGAATTATCAGGATTCCACCTGTATTATAAATGCACCAGCCCTACCGTGAACAAAGAGGAGAGTGTGCATTGCAATCATGATGCTGCATTGGACATGGGAAGTCTCAGTGAATCATCCTGGGCCGCACTACATCGACCATCCCCATGACACCAAGTCAGGAAAGATACAAGCCCCTTAAGAATTCTTCACGATTTGGGCTTCATGATCATTAAGGCTGGATGCTGGATAGTATTTTCAGGCAACTGAGGTTTTATGCAGGAGATTCTGATCTCCCTACTGTACTGCCGGGCACCGAAAAACGAACCGGCTAGAATTTCACCAAGCATAGCATACCAATGTATACACGCGGTGACTCAACTGTGCATAGACTGTAGTAGGTGAAAATGAGAACGGTCCAGGCTATGAGGCTGCCCCCCCCCCCCCCCCCCCCAGTTCTTCGGCAACTGACAGTACTGTAGGGTCACAGGTATGTGCTTGTATGCACTTGTGCGATGTACTATTGTACCTGTACATACACGAACTATCATGTCGTATTCTTGCATGTATTCCGAAAAGTCAAGACTCTCGAGACTGCGCCAAGTCACTGCCAGCAAATACTGCAGTCATTGTAGTAGTATTCGAAGTGCATGACCAAGAGTACAAAAGTCACAGGACAGGAGTTCACTTTGCTTGTCACTGTTTTTGAATGCTTCGATGGAACACGTTCGTAGTACTTGAAGTCTTGTTCTGAGAACCATTGTACAAGTACAAACAAACAAAAAGAAGAGAAAGAATGTGCACACAATGAAGAAAGGGACTGCAATGCTCAAGTAAGGAAATAGAAGTTCCACAAGTCCCAGTCTCCCAAGTCTATAAAAAATCATAGTTTTCCAACAAACTTCAACGTGCCGGAGGTTATCATTTTACAGAATTCTTCTTTTCGTCTTCAAGTGGGGAAATTCTAGTTCTACCAGACCGTCCTAGTAGAACTGTAATACTTGTCTAAAGTCATCTTGCTGGCTGGTAACTCTTCCATACCAGTTACTTTTGCCATGACATCATAATTATGCCAAAACGGTCACAGCGGCGGCGGCGGCAGCAGCAGCAGGCAGGCACCTCTAAGCAACAGTGCCCAACAGAAGGGATGGTTCCTAGCAGCCACGTCAAATACATCATCTGCAAGGAATGTGTTTTTAGACTAATTGAGCCACGTCGCTGGCTGCTTCAGGTGCGCTCACAGCTTCAGGTGGGCCGGCTTCGGGCACTGCGGTCAAGTTTACAAATCCGTGATCAATCGAATTGTCAACCAACTGACTCTGGCTCAGCGTCTGTGAGTACTTCAGGCGCTCTCCACGCAGAGTCTTCTTGTGCTCTTGCTTGCGCCTGACGGCGATGCGCCGCTTCTTGCTGTACGGAACCTCCGCGGCGCGTGTTATCTTCTTCATGACGCCGTGCTCCACGACCCGAATGAACCACCTGTCATCGTCTGGCCCAGACCCCAGCGAATAGTGCTTGCCAGGAAAGCCCGTTCTGATACGCAGGCGCTTCGGCACTCGCCGTTCCAACAGCAGTATAAGAGAAGCAAGCTAAAAGGTGGAAGACAGGTCAGACAATGAAGGAAAAAGATTGAACGTGGAGGCATTGTGATTGCCATATCACGAGTACAGAACAGCAGACTCCAGCCACTATCACACATGCAAAACTTAAAATGCCGTACAGTTGCTCTGGTATGTTCCCGTAGGAAATAGCCATGTGGGACGAAGCAGCCCCGCTTCTATGAACGGTGCCTGGAACACAGTGTGCCTTCTTATTCAGGGCATGCAACGCTTTGGATTCTCGAACTACGTTTCGGCAGTGAGTGCGCAAGGCTTCACAAGGCACTAATTGTAGCAAGAAGGAGCCACGGGTGTGTGTGATCCCCGGGTGCATAGGGCACTGTCCCGGAAAGGGGTGCTGGGTTCGAATCCCGCTCATGGATCCTTCTTTTGCAACATAATAGAGTCAATTTAATCAGGTTGTTAGAGGTCTTCAAACTAACGTTACACAATCGTCATGTTTCTGTCCCGTTGCCTATCCACTCTAAAGAAGACCTCATAGTGTCTTTTGGTGAAAATATTGTTACTCATAACCAGTTATACATGGATGTACCGTAAAGTACCGCGAGAGCGCCCCACCATCTTGTCCTTTCGTGGTCGTATTGTGGAGGCAGTCTCCTGTCTGTAGGTCATACGACACGGACCTTGCACACATACTGCACGTTGTGCAGTCAAGCTGTTCCTTCGAGCGGACACGAGCTCCACACAAAACCCACTAAGTGTGACTGTAGGACATTTTAGGTTCTCACACCGTACAAAACTTCGTTGCACTCTGTCATACGATTTTCCTTTCCCTGGCTGTAAAATCAAGGTGGGGGGCGGGGGCTCTGGTGAGACGGGCGCTCTGGTGATACGGGCGCTCTGGTGGTACTTTACGTTACTTGTACATGTTCTACCCATGCAGTGGATGAACACTAGTGTGCGTGCTCATACCGGTGGAACACGTCATGCGTATCATTTGTTTGTGTCTGTGCATGTGCAAATGCATTCTACAGCCGTACAGGTGTATGCGCCTAACAGTATATCTCCACCAGGTGCGCACATAAAGCTGCCCGGCGTACGTCTGGTTGGGCCAACTGAAGCTGGTCTGGCCCGGCAATATAGCTCCTAGCCCTAGGCAGGCCGGTGACAATGCTCCGCGCCCGGGGGCAAGCGATCCCTTCCTTGGCCTACTGGTGCCCTGTGACTACCTTTTTAGCCAGTTTAACTGATAATTATGGCTGCTGGACTGGAAAGTGGTCCGGCCATTATCTGATCAGCCACATTGGCTGTTACACCCCTGTTCAACACACCCAGCCACTAGCTGTGCAGACAAGATACTGTAAATATAAAAAATTTCGGCGCTGCAAAATTTCGGCACTTCACGATTTTTGACATTTCGGCGGCGATTTATTTTCGGCGTGGGGTAGAGGGCATGATAGTGCGACTGATGCTGTGAAAAAGTTCATCGGCGTTTTGGGTCGGTGCCGAATATAGCCGAAATTAAATAGCTGCCGAAAATTTGTATATTTACAGTACCCAGTAGTCTCAGTACTGCTCTTGCGCACAGGTAGGGCGACAGAAATCACACGAAACTTCCAAACACTATTCAGGAAACGCACCTGCTTTTCCCAGACACCTCCGCGAACACCCTCGACGCGCTGATGCGTGGCATTCATCATAGCGATCAGCAACTGAATGAGTAGCAGAAAGCCAAGTAGGACGTAGGTGATCAGGAACGCGATCGCCCAGCCAGGCTGTGGAGCTGAGCGGTACAGCTGCACGTCAAACTCAGTGATACCGATAGCCAAGCGGAACAGGAAAATGAAGATATCGCCGAGCGCAAAGAACCCTTCCGGTGTCTTCGGGCGAGCTTCATTGAAAGTGGCATGAGTGACTGTCAACGAGAAGATACAACACAGAATCACAGTGTCAACAATGTGTTATTATTGTGGCGATATGATGCCAATAAATCACTTCTCCATGCCCCCCGCAACAATAACACAATATTCATAAAATTAGAGAGCAGCATGCTCTTGAGACTCTTCCCTGAGTATAACAAGATAATCATCATGGTACAAGGATCTGACAGATCTATTGACAGAGTTCTTTCAAGTGGTTGAAAGGGTGGTAACACAATGGGAAGATCAATGTAGCCTGCTGTCCAATACTGCAGAGTGTGTACACTGTACACTCACCTCCAGAAAAGCTGATGATTGTTACACCGAAGATCATAAGAAAACGCAACGTGTCTGTTCGGAGAATCTGAAATTCAGAAATTCAAAACCCAAAACTTGTGCACTTCAGTCGATGCCTGCGCGGTGTCAATCATTCGCAGCTGCTGAGTCAGTGAACCTGTCCTTGATCTGCATGCGCCAACCAGCTACGCAACACCAACTCGAAAGTCTAACTTTGATCCAATCTTGAAGGTGCATGTATACACAACCAAAGAAGCAGTTCCCCTCATTTTGCCAACACCATTGTGCTCCAATTCGACCTCCACACAGCGGATATACCAGCACAGCAATCTCCTAGAGAGTCACGTAATGAAGATCATCACCTGCATATTGCCACTGGCAATGATAAAGTATAACAATGGCATCATGTGTTGCCTACATTAACACAACCTGCACATGTGCAAGTTGCATGTGCTTGAGACGGCGGTTATCCTCATGAAACACATTTTCTTCAAACGTACCTCCTGAATGATGGCAATGTATGGCCCAAGAAAGCGAAACCCTCGCGCGAAGAACAGAATGAAGAACCAGCCGAGGACTACAGCAAACGACAGTGTTATCTCTTCATCGTCATTTTCCGCAAGGCGTAATATGACGCTGATGAAGATGAGAAAACCATAAACCCAGCTGACCAGCATAAAGCAGACACACACACACACACACACATCATGTACGATACACACATACATATCTAGTGTTGGCAGCAGTCAATGAGTCGGAGCAAGCGTTAGCGGACCTTAGAGAAAGATAGAGGTGTTTGTCGCGCTGAAAACGGAGCATCTCTGTAAGTTTGTATCCCTCGTGATGGTTTGGTCTGGAGAGCGCTATATAAGTGGTGCTCTTCAGACAAAACCTTCCTCAGCCTACTCAAGCTAAGCTGATGAGGGGTGAATTCCCCGAAACACTGTGTATTGAGCAGGGAGTGGTGCTTTCTTGCAGGTTCGCAGAGTGGAAGGTTCGATGGACATCTCGTGTGCTCTGGATGGCAGTCGTGAGCCAGTCAAGTGAGAATTCAAGTCGGCAGGAAAAGCGCGAGCTCCCGTGTAGGGAGCAACACACAATTCCCCAAGTATCGCCGAAGGCACGCCAAACTCTTCTTTAGAGAAAGACAGATGAAAGAATGGGTGGATGGATGAATGGGTGGGTGGATGGACGGATGGGTGGATGGATGAATAGATAGATACAGATATATACAGCCAGAAGCACACACGCACACACACACACACGCACACACACACACACACACACACACACACAGTCAGGGTTACCAGAGCAGTAGTCACTCACCTGAGAGCCTGAAAGGAGCCAGATCCAAAATTGGTAAAGTACTTCCTGTAACCTCTCCGCCGGAGATCTGGAGCCTGCACAGCGCAACACATCATCCGTGGCAGAGCACCATCTGGATCACACTACATTTGTACTATGATAGATTATGACATGCACAACACTCATGGTATACTGTCAATGGTGTAATTCCTGAACACTAGGTCACTGTGATCGTGAATGATGACAGCAGGGTTGTAGCCAAGGCGACACAGTGCGGCCCTGCGCCTCTCTTTAAGTTTCGGCCGCCCTCTTTCAAAATCGAGAAGCATCATACATTACTAGGGCTGAAACGATCGTGGATTTTCACCTATCGATTACTCTCTAGCTTAACGATCGAGTAATCGATTATAATCTTTAGCAAATAGCGTCAGAATTTTGTGCAAAAATTATCCTGTTTCCAAAAGCTAGGCCTTCATAATACCAAAAATCTACATTAGTGACAGGATAGCTCCAAAACATGACAATTTTGAAGTCAATTTAACCTTGGAATATGCACCATGCCCCTGGCAACTGCATACTGTGACTCACAGCGGAAACTGATTCAAACTTCACAAAACGAGGGTTTTCAGTACTTCTTGGACTCAAAATTCCTAACGAGTAATCTACACAAGGGAATGGTCTCAAACTGAGTAATCTATAACGTAACGATTACTTGATTGATAAGGAATTATCGATCGCTTACCGAGTAATTGGTATAATCGTTTCAGCCCTATACATTACAATTATTGCTTTCAAATTTCAGTCTGATTAGTCCGTCAACAAGACTTAAAACCATCCTAACAATGATTTCGTAGACGGCGAGAAGACAGTCATGTTACAATCTCAATCAAGTGAACCAGCCGGATCAATATGAGGTCACTTTATTCATGCATGCCCGCGCGGCTCTGATCAATCGCCCAGTGTGAAGAGCAATGCAAATATGGTGTCACACAATACACTGCCGCTGACAGCATCGGTATACATGCACATTGGAAGTCAACTCACCTCATAGCAGAGGCTGATCATCACGCCGATGATCACCAGTACCTCACCCGCCAAACGGGCAAAGTCAGCATTTGTACGATATGCCTGCTCTTCGCCTGTGCCCTACAAAGCCATCCACAGTACACGCACGGTCGAGTTAGGTCAATCACCTTGCATACAGCCATAGGAGAGCATCATGGTGGCGTTCGAAACAGTGCATGCACAGGTTCTTCTGTTTCTTCCTCATAAGCCACCACTCTACTCTACAACACTCTACTAGAACAACACCAGTATCCCTGAGCTTACGATGCAGTGCACTTTGAACATGCTCGTATCAACGTACACAACAACAGCTTCCTCAGGCATTCAACGTGAGAGGGAATCGTGAATCAGTTTTTCGGGTGTGTTGTGTTGTTCTTTTAAACCATTTGCAGTGCAACTCTGACATCAGCAGGAGGATACCCTGGTATTCCATCCATCTGACATGTCACGGCTTACACTAAGAAATTTTGACTTGTCCTGTAGCTCATAGCCTTCTTATTCCCCACTACACTACTTTGAAGTAAACAAAAGTGTCAGCCAGTCGGAAGGTGACACCAATGTGACGGAACACGGCTGGACTAGTTGCTAGTGCTAGTCATGCTGGCAGTGCCCAAGTAAACTATCAGACTTACAAAGATTCGACGTTTCTTCTTCGGAAAGCACGTCAGCTCACACGATTCGCTCAGATTGCTCAGCAGCACGCCGTCAGGTAGCTCACCTAGCCCGCAGGTGTCCTCGGCCGGAAAGGACGTCGTGTTCAGCTGCACGCTTCTCACGTTGTTCTCGTCGTAGTCGATGAGAGCGGAGGTGTTGCACGGACAATAGACCGGGCGGGTACGCACCACCACGGTGAGGATGATGATGTTTGTCAGGTAGACCAGGAACCACATGATGAAGTAGAAGTAGCCGAACTGGCGCCACTTGGCGTCCAGGATGTCCTTGATGGGCGACATGCGGATCAGCTCCACGGACTGTGGCACACACAAGCCAACACCAGCAGCAGAATGCGTGTTGTCTAGCGCATGCTTCGCGAAACACGCAAGAGTTGGTTGCATTCTATCTTTGGGTATACAAAAGTTCTTATCTTTTCTCACTCAATTACCTCAGTATTGGGACCATCACTGGGGCCTTTGAAATGGTGCTCGCTTTCCTCTCAATGATACCACAAATGCGTGAATAAATGCACGCTCGCATCCATTTGCCAAACCCCATAGTCATTCGCAACTTAGAAAGCTCCGCAAACCTGAGTAATGGTGGTGTTAGAGAATTACCTACCCACTCCAAGTTCAAAAGATCACAAACACTCTCTATTCGTATTAGCTTACTGAACAAGTTCAGATCAGTCTACACAGAATGTTTGGAAGTCATTGTGAATACTAACATGAACTTGGAACACGACGGTAAACTTACTTGAGGCTTGTCATTGAGTGCAAGCAGTTCCAGGACACTTGATTTCTCCTCGTGGGTATCGATGCCTTTCAGTGAATAGACACACGATGTTATCGGTCCATATGTCCAGTGAACATGCCGACGTCGGTGTACCAACTCTCGGAAAAACTGCAGTACGCACATACGCACATACAGTTATACTGACATGAATATTATGGATATACAGAACATTTCCTTCAACAATTCAAATCTTTCACATCTAAATTTTAGAATACACATTACAGTGTGCAGTCGACTCCTGATATAACAAACAGTGTACAGTTGACTCCTGATACAACAAACACTATTGTGCAGGAATATTAGTTCTTCATAGCCGGAGTTCGTTATAACAGAAATGCACTCACACCATACAAGCAGTAAGCCATGACTGGCAAGTGGACCATCATACATTATGGGTGCACATGGTGCACATGCGGCCCTACAAGATTTGGTTCGTTATAAACGAAACAGGTTCGCCGCTATAAAGGGTCAATTTCGTTTGAGTTCAAACAGGTACATGGACAAGGATTCGCTATATCACAGAATTTGCTATATACGAGTTTGTTATAAGTGGAGTCGACTGTATATGCATAGATAGAGCAGCAAAACATCACGGCAGTCACAGGTGAGGTGGGAGCCTGTGAGCCCGCAACGGATCAAATAATGAGGCCCAAAACTGTTCTGGTGTGAGTCGAATTATGGCACGCTACGTTAACAAGTACGGATCGGGTAGGGCAAAGATTACCACAACCGTTGGTGCCCAAACCTTACCCCAGCATTTGCCTCCTTAGCCGCCAGCTGGATGGGCGTCATTCCATTTTTGTTTTGCTCATCCTCCAAATGACTGCCAACTCCAAGGCTGTCCACGATATGCTTGAACATGTCGACAGATGCCGCTTGATCATGTTGCAAAACAAGCAAGTGAAAGATGTTGTTCCCCTGTAGAGATCGGCGGCCATACGGAACACAGCAGGGGAGTGCTCGTGATAGTTTCGTAACCTTTTTAAAAAGAATGGAAGATTTGCTTCCAACTTGTCTCGATCAATTCCAACAGCAGTAACTACTGAAGTAGCTTTGTCAACAACACTCATAATATCGCTATACACCAACGATGGCATGTCCGGGTCTCTGATCAAGGGAGGGCAGGTGCAAGCCTCCAAATAATTTTTGGAATGAGGGAAGGCAATATCAGTGGATATAAGCATATAACAGTACTGGTGGGGGTAGATGAAGTGAAGGGCCGGTGAACTTGCCCCATCCGCCCTATTCCACACAGGCACCTGTGGGCAGGGCACACTGCGGCAATGCCATGCTATCCGGCAACGAACCTGTCCAGTTCAACTGCCTTCTGCTGAGCGACGTTAAATGAAGCACTTATCTGTGTGACGAGTACAGGGCGAATCACCGCTTGAACTTACCCGGTTATCGGTCGCGTTGATGTCTGCTCCAGCCCCAATGAGGTATTCAACAGTCTCCTTTTGGTTGAGACAAACGGCAAACGCTAAAACATGCTCACCCCAGTACACCTGAGGGGTTATGCGTAGGGAATACACACACACACACACACACACACACACACACACACACACACACACACACACACACACACACACACACACACACACACACACACACACACACACACACACACACACACACACACACACACACACACAAACAGCCCGGTGAAGCAAAATATAGCTGTACTGAAACAATCCACAGCCTTATCTCTCTCCCCTCTCTCTTCTCTCTCTCTCTCTCTCTCTCTCTCTCTCTCTCTCTCTCTCTCTCTCTCTCTCTCTCTCTCTCTCTCTCTCTCTCTCTCTCTCTCTATGTCTCTCTCTCTCTCTATGTCTCTCTCTCTCTCTCTATGTATCTCTCTCTCTCTCTCTCTCTCTCTCTCTCTCTCTCTCTCTCTCTCTCTCTCTCTCTCTCTCTCTCTCTCTCTCTCTCTCTCTCTCTCTCTCTCTCTCTCTCTCTCTCTTTCATCAGTCGAAATAGAAGGCAAGCACCTGGAAGCTGGAAGTGCATGCATCATTAGTCATTATGCAGCAGCCTAGCAAACACCAGTCATACACGATGCTCAACTTCCCACCAATCCAGCACCTGCACACTCACTTGGCAATGTTTAGAGGACGGGTTGAAGAACTGCCCAGTGCAGCGTGGCTCATTCACGTTGGCACCAAATGCTACAAGTTCTTTGACCAATTTGAGGTTTTGGTTGACGACAGCGATGTGCAATGGATGCTGGCCTGGGAAATCAAATAGAACAATGTTGAGTTAAATTTTCCATGGCCTTATAGAAGTGGCTCAATACAATTGAAAGTGATTCGTTGCAGACAGACATGAAATTCCTCCCTTATTCACTACGCATCCAAGTCTACGCAAGCAGATGGAAGAAGACGTGTTTTTTTGAGGTGGTGGTATATGTGTACCTTCATTGAGCGGTCCTGTGTACGTCATATTGACATATTCGGGGTAGATCATCAGTAAGCGTGATGCCACATCCATATTGTTGTTCTGAAGGGCTATGTGATACGCCGTGCCTCCCAGGTCGGTGCGATCCTCGAACTTCAACGATGCACGGCGTGATCGTCCCGGTAACGGGAGCGTGCCATCGGTCTCGTCTTGCCGCAGCCGTCCTCGCTGTTTGGCTTCCCGACGTTGGATGTACCGTACGCTGCTTTCCAGGAGCTCAACATCGTTGGACTCTGCTGCCGCAAACAGGGCATTCTCACGGATACTGTGCACGTGATTCGAGAACCGCCAACAGAGGAAGAACAGGACAGGAAAGTTACATGTAGCTGTGCCGTTGATTGTGACAAATGCCCGTGAGGTTGAAGAAGAGTACATGACCTCAAGAGCATGCAACTTTTACCTCCGAGCTATGATACTATGGGTATTGTGCGCGGTGCGCTGCCTTCACTATGTAGTGAAATGAGGCTCAAGCTGGCCGGATTTGAATTTTCCTATGGTTCATGCACAACGATTTCATGCATAATACGATAGGCTCAAAGGCAGTGCCTGTATGCGACATATCGCACACACAACATTTTCCAAAATATCCAAGAAAAGCCCACTTGGAAGTTGGAACCGGAGCAGATCTCTACTGAAGCGGTGGCCTGGCTGGTATCCCAGTTCGTTGCTACGTAATGGGGGCAGCGTGCGGGCCAGACCATATGCGCTGCATACTCTGGGTTATGGCCTCTTGCTATGACCAGTGTAACTATTAGGGGATGGCGCACATACCTACAATGTAAAATACTGGCATTAAAGGAAAATGGGAAGGGGGTGGGATTATGGGTTATGGGTTCACTGCACTTCATGGGTATGATTTTGCCGACAAACCTTTCTTTCTCTTCTTGTCTTTCCATGCATCAGCGTGGATAGGACATCACTGGCACTCAGACACTGGCATAATGTACATCTAACATGCTTGCTGTGAAGGCCACCTTGAAACTGGGCTTATAATTCCACCATGATCAACACTGGAGAGTATCTTGGTGCCGGACCGCTAGAAGTTGCCCATCACCGACTGAGACAACACATCTTGGCTCGCTGGCAGCCCAGATTCCTCTTGTCTTACACACTGTCAGGAGTAACTACTTCACTACAACGCAATGCAATGTATTGCGGAAGATGCCAGAACACTTGTGGCATACATTATATTGAAGATTTCACAATAGAACAGGGTCACTTCAGTACATTCCCATCTGAATGGGCTGGAAAGGTTGCTCTACAATTATTATGGCCCTGAGCAGATTTGTTTTTGTGACGTTGGTGGAAAATGCATATACCAGGCAACTAATGCCATAAGGTGTGGTGGTGTGTTTCCGAAAACTTGAAAGGTCCCAAACCCCAGGAATGTCAATGCGGAGACACGTGGAGGGCCTTGTTGCACACCTACAGACAGGGTGAGGACTGACTGGCATGCTGCAGTAATCACGCAACGACCCGGGTACCTGGGTGAAGCACATCAATGCACTCAAACCGGGCATATGGGCCAAATCCAGCTGGCACGATCACTATTCTAGATCGAACATGAAGCTACTATTTGTACACCCCAAGGCCCAACGCCAACTGGACCAGACGCATGTTGATGTACAGTGGTGCAGCCTGGTGCCGTGCACTGTCCTGCTTGTCTTCAACACACAACTAATACTTATTACAAGTACTAGTTCGCAATTCGCACACAAAAACACTGATGTAACAGGCATGCTGGCCATTTTCGCAAACTTTCTAAGTTCTATGCTTCTTGAAATAATTCTGCATTTGCACCAATCAAACTGTAAACAGCCGCTGGCGGCAGCGAAACATACTCTGTGTGTGTGTGTGTGTGTGTGTTCGTGTGTGTGTGTGTGTTCGTGTGTGTGTGTGTGTGTTCGTGTGTGTGTGTGTGTGTGTGTTACGCATAGTAAAGCTGGTGAAACAGTGTCACAACGACATGCATCGGTCTCTCTCTCTCTCTTTTTGCATTTCCAAGCTATGCGTGGACGCCCAGTTCAGTACAGCGTTCTTGCAAAGTTGAATGTTACCCACACACGCGGACATGGCGAAATAACCCATGCTGGGTTCAGATCACGGAGCACATACCTTAGTTGATGGCGGACATTGCATCGTGTCACCCGATTCAGTCCGGACGTTTCGTACGCCGGCCGCTTCGTTCCCCTGTAGCGAATCGCCCTGGTCAATCGCAACAACGGTTTGGTGAGCGCTACTCGTATCGAGTGTACTGTGTAGTCGGAGAAACTCGTCTGCTGCTCTCTCCCGAGGTCGGGGCCGTTTCCGCCATTATTAGCATCATCGCCTACGACGCCGGCACCGATATTACTACCACGACGGGCGAGGGAGAAACCGCTCGCTTGACTGTTCAGCTCCATTCCGCAGCTTGCCAAGACGTGTCACTCAATCATCAAGACAAGACAGAACTTGCGGCTGCAATCAAAAGCTTTCTTTTCGACCACATGTGGACAGATCAACCGGCCTGCACTAGGCTGCAGCTACCAAGCAGTGAACTGCGAAGCAGCATGCAGGCGCGCGTCGATGACAGAAAAATTGATCCCGACCCAAGTAAAGTCCGTCGTTCTAGACGCAGAAGAGCAGTTTCGGAAGTAGCGCCCTCGCACCGTCCGCAGGCTCAGCTCACTGCACCGATGTAGCGGAGGGACGAAAATCAACACCACAGCTAGCACAACCAGTCAGCGGGACTGGCAAAACGTGGGTGCACAGACAGTACAGACGTACAGTCGAGTCACAGAGATAAGTACAGAGTTGTAAACATGGTAAACTCTTCAACAAGCAAGAATAGATACCGACATTCGCTGTTCGCACTTCACTCCAGGGATCACGTGATGTGCACTGAGTATGCGACCGGCCGGCGGGGTACCCGGGTGGCAGTGGTAGATCTACGCGCTCGAGCGTCCCCCATGCCCAGGACCATGACCAGATGACGACATGGCAAGAGTCAGTGCAGCTAGCACAGTAGCAGCTAGCAGGGACCAGGAGTCAGGACTACAGTACAAGATCCAGGACTAGCAGGAGTCGTCGCTAGTTTTGGTTTGCCTGTTTGAACCTTCGCCGCCAGAAGTCCCCGCCCTTATCAGTAAACCATTGGGATTATGATTCACTGAGTGACTTGCATGCACAGCGCTGCAGCGCCTCAGAGAAACGCCGAACAGCTATTTCCATTTGGGCAAGATAAGCTTATCAGTATCACTATCAGTATGAACTACATGTACACATATTTTATTTTATTTGTGGAGACAAGTTCGGCAAGAAAACTTCATGTAAGTAAGAAAAAACGGTCGCAGAAGTGGAATCTGCGGTCCAGTGTGATTGAGCACGTACCAGTGATGATAATATTAAAATGACTAAATGTCACTGGCAGTAGTCAGCGCGGTATGAATCTACTGCTACTGCATATTAGTGCCCTAATATTAGTGGTGGTACTCGTAGGAGGGGGCGATATTCAGCCAAGGCAGTAAGAAGGCGGACCCCTAAAGGCCTATATTATAATTATTAATTATTTGGCGGCGTGAACCGGTGACCGGGGCCGCTTGAAGGAATCACTGACACTGACACTGTATCGGAACCTACGGGTAGCTGTCAGGGCGTCAAAATGCATGGGAATTCGCTGCGTGGGATTTATTGTTTGATTCGTTCGACATCTTGGATTGTTGCGAGGAAGGGAAGAAGGGACACAGGCAGGGACATAGGGACTCGGAGGAAACTACCGGTAATCTTCCCTACACTGCAAGTGCTGTTGCTACCAACCAGTGGCGCTCCTACTCGGCTGCAATCATCTATACTATAGCCTAAGACCACCGCCAACCCGCACTGAGCTGGGTAAGGGTTGTCTCGCGTTCCAAGGAGCTAGGCTCTGGAATGCGTTGCCCAGCGACGTACGGGCCATACCACACCCGGCCCAATTTCGCACTGCTGCTGTTCCACACAGCATGAACCTTTGAGGTCAGACGGATCACTATCGCCATATTTTCATTATATGCCTGTCTGTTGACCTGCCCGCCCGTCTCTCTCCCTGTTTCTTTGACAACCTGCTTGTTAATTCGTGCGGTTGTTTTCAGACGTAAAGCTCTGTTGTAGAGGTCTCAGCCCTCATTTGTTAGGGTCTCTCTCTCCTCTTTCTCTCCTCTCTCTCTCTCTCTCTCTCTCTCTCTCTCTCTCTCTCTCTCTCTCTCTCTCTCTCTCTCTCTCTCTCTCTCTCTCTCTCTCTCTCTCTCTCTCTCTCTCTCTCTCTCTCTCTCTCTCTCTCTCTCTCTCTCTCTCTCTCTCTCT